CAAACTATTGAGTTTTGAAATTCATATTTTTATTACCAATTTATATAATTTAAACTCCAAACTATTTGTTTTTAGAAAATTTTATCCTTTTTTCATTATTTGTATTGATCAATTCTTTGACTTTTAACAAAAATGCTTAAATGATGTTGTTTAAGTATTTTAGTATTTTTTTCAAAAATAAAAAAATAATTTCAAAAATTAATTTAATTTAATTAAAAAGATTAACATAGACAACATGTCGTCCCATATGTATTAACCCTTTTAATTCTCAAAGATGAATTGAATCGGGGAGAGAGAGAGAGAGAGGGAGATGAAGAGTGAAAGACCGTGTTAGGTTTTTATAAATTGAATCATTTTCTTCTTAAATATTCAACGAGTGACGAGAGAGTGAGAGAGTGGCTTAGGGTTCATGAGATTCAATTCACAAAATTGAATTAAATTGAGAGGAGAGAGAGCGAGTTAGGTCTTTCATAATCGATTGTTTTCTTCGTAAATTTTGACAATGATAGTGATATTTGACTTAGTGTTCATGAGATTCATGGCTTTCCATTCCTTTCATTTTTCTTCTTCTAGATCATGAAATGTAAAATCCTCTAATGTGAAAAACATATCTTCATTATTCATTCAAAATCATAGTATGATTATCTTGATGAGTCTCCTATGAGGTATTGTAATTGCGGACTCTCAACTCCTCAATAAACTTCATAGAGTGATAAAAATTCAAGCATGAGATTTTTTGTATGCCCTATATTCAAAAAGGAAAATGGTAGTTTAAAGATGCAATTACTTTTGATTTTAAGATTTTATGATTAGAGGAAGAGAAAGAAAAGTAATTAATGCTTCGAAGTATACTCGTAAAGAAGCTAGCTACAAAAAAAAAATAATAATAAATAAGCATTACTTTCAATTTGCAAATTGATTATCAACATTTAAATTATTATTCTTTCATTGAATACTTAGCCTAAATTTATCTAGATGCTAGAATAAACCCAAATCCTCTCTAAATTCATTAATTTAAACCTTTGTGTCAAAATTAAATTCATATTATCAATTGATTTTGGTACTACTACAATCTTAATCTAATTAACAATAACATTAAGAATTAGGAAGATAACTAAGACTCGAACAACAATTTTAGGACCACTAAATCATTTAATTTGTCTTGTTATTTTCCCAAGGTAATCAAACCTAATTTTATACTTGAACTAACTTTTCTTAACAATTACAAATTAAAAGAATTAGATAGCTATCAATCACAATAGATAATCAATTAATTGGTCAACTTAGATAATTATCTATGTAATCATGATTAATTTAATTCAAATATAAATTAATTATGCTCGGAGAAACAAAATATACTCAAATCATAAAGAATAGTTTAAATATTAAACTCATATCTCACAATATCTTTACAAATTGAAGTCGAAATCCCTTGAACCGATCCGATGCATTAGCTAGATATTCTTTGAAGCAATAAACCCTAAATTATATAAAATAAAGTGTGTATAAAGTGTAGCCCTAGAGGCTATTTATACATATAAGGAAATAAATATGACAGACTAAGAAATTTCTATTTTAGCTAGTTTTCAAAATTGAATAGAACTTATTACCACAACAAAACTCCAAGTTATGTGCTAAAAATAAATATGACGACCAACAAATTTTTGTTTTAGCTAGTTTCCAAAATTAACTAGAACTTGTTACTAAAATAGAACTCTAAGTTATGTGCTGAAACTTCTAAATTGATTTAAGGTCGGAAGATGAAAGAATTTAACTCATGCTCTTCATGAAGATTATATACCCGAATCATCTTAATCAAATTTGTATAATCTAGATATGGTCTAAATACTAGAAAGTGTTTGGATTGTTATAGGATCCAAATTTCTTTCGAATTCTTTTTTAACTTTGCAATCGACTTTAATAGCTCAAAATAGAATGAATTTATGTATTTAAACCCAATATAAAAAGCTTAAGATATCTACTTTGATTCTCAAAAAGACCTCCTTTATGTTCTAGAACTCTAAGTATGTTAAATTCTTGTCTTTTCCTGTAAAGGTGAACTTACTAGTATATGAAATTAGCCTAAATTAACACATTTTTGCTCATTTGACTTCAATCATCTCCTAAATCACAAAGTAAACTTAATTTAGCACATAAACAAAAAATCACATCCGAAACTTTAAATATAAAAGAATAAATATCATCAATAATGCTCATTATTACTAAAGAAAACATCTAATTATTCACATCTCTTTCTAGTTGTTTTTTTTTTTTCCTTCAAAGAATTCCACATATTGATTATTTTTCTCTTTTAATGTAATTCTGCTCCATATTTTTAGCGATTAAAGAATCGTATTTTTTTCAATTAAATAATGTTAATGAACTTTGTGATATGATAAAAGAAAGAAAAAGTTGAATGTTTATATATATATATATATAAAAGAACATATCATCTACTAGTTATTATAGATAGATAGAGGATGCATTTGTAGTTAGATTTAATCGCATCGGACATCCCTTCGCTCTTGATATTTTCTTAATGTAAGTCTTGTACTTTTTTTTATTCAACACCTCCCTTTACATTTGAATTTTTTTTAATGTGGCATTTTCGATTGTTTTTCGGCTAATTTTTTTTTATTGAAACTAACATTTGACATAAAAAAATCCACATGATATGTCGGATGAGATTAATTTGCCATGTGTAGAAAAGTTATTTAAAAATTAGAAAATTAAAAAGAAAAAATAAATTTGCAACACACCTTACATTCATAACTTTTCTTGTATTAAATTTTTTACACCCCTTGTTCTCTCGGACATTTCATCAAACATCTTCTATACATCCCTTATCTTCATAGACATTTTATCAAAGCCTCCATTATCAAGATCAAACCTACTAGTGGCACCCCTCACTTGCTTTCATGATCAGTCTCTTTAACATTCATTTCTATAAGAGAAAAATTCTCATCAACGAGTTCAATTGAATCTTCTTGGTTTGAAGCCAATTCATTGCCGGGGAAATAATGGGTTAACGGTGAAGAAATCAAACCTTAAGGAAATTGCATGTTTGAACCCCCAAAGAATCTCCATGAAGGGAATTTTTGTGGGCACCATTCCAACCATATTTCTATGGCCATATCCCGTTAAAGCTAGAACGGAAGGTGAAATTGGAAGAGATATGTGACCGAGTGCTATATACGAGAGGAACATGAACCTATTCGTTGAAACCCAAACCCGTAAAAGAAGCCATCACCCTTTATTAACCTTCACCGGGTGTCTTTTTGTTTTTTGTTTTGGCTTCTTTTTGCTAACCGGATCTTTGATATATTGGAATCTTTAGTTCTTGATCATGGATCTTCGATCTAGAAGAGGCGAGAGGAGAAAGTGCTCTAAAAGGAAGTTTTGAAGAATACGGATCTTTAATCTAGAAGAGGTAGAGTAACTCACAAACAAATATGAAGAACACCTTATTCTTGTTATTCAAAAGGTGTATCCATAGACGAACTTGAAGAACAAGTACCTCACAAAAACCCTACCATTGAGTCAACTCATCATGACTACTCTCCCTCACTATTAACATCTTCTATACTCTCGAAAAAGCTCATCAAAACACCAAAAATACCTCCAAATGTTTTAAAGACGGTGACCCAATTGCTAGGATTCACCACTAGATCGTAACTCAATCCTACTACAACTCAATGCGAAAACTTAATCATGGCCAAAGAAAAAAAAACAACGTGCCTAGTTTAAAGTAACCACCTGTAGTTATGAAATTGAATTATCCTAGTGCTAATGTGGTTAAAAGGAGTAACAACAATCTTTATAGGGGGTTTCGTATAAAAATACGAGTTAAAATTGTTGAGGAAAAGATGATTAGTTTCATGTCTTAGTTCTCTTATTTTTTAAATTAATTGTGACCTTACAATTCCATTTCTTTTTTACTTTAGTTCTTAATGATGATTTCACAACACCTAACTTGTAATTCCCTAATTGTTTGGCTAGGAGTGTTTTCAACAAGGATGAGTTAGAGGCTGAGATCACATTCACAAGATCTTGTTTTTCATGACGCATCCCTCGTAATTAATTTTTTTAATTTTTAGATAATTTTTTGGATTTTTTATTTTTTTATCACGTGATAAATTTATCTAATCTGATATGTCACGTGGATTTTTTTAATGCTAAGTGTTAGTTTCAAAAAAATAATAATAATAATAAAATAATCAAAAGAGCCAATTAAGAAAAAATTAAGGATAAAAGCGGTGATGAAAAAAAAAAAAAAAAAAAAAGAGGTAAAAACATGTCAAAAGTAGAGTGACGTGTGACGATTTAACCCTTCATATTTCTATCACCCGACGTGCTGCTAACAGTGAGTGAGTGGAAGCCTCAGACTTTTGCCCTCGCTCACTCCCTCACCAAAGTAACGACGAATTTCCCCTCCACTGTCGCGTAGCTGCAGAAATTCTCTGGTGAGCATCCTTAAAATCTTTTGAATTCAAATGGGTACTCAATAAGTTCAATCAGCATGTACTGTTTAATAGATTAGGGTTTATTGATTGTTGCCTTTAGATAGATAGATATATAGGGATATGTGTCCGTTGGTATCTACCAGTAGGTTTTTTTCCATGTTTGTTCATTTTAAAAATAGTTTTAACACACAAAGAAGATTACTTTTTTTTCCCCATTTATTTATATTCACTCTTTATCCAAGCAAAGCATCAGACCCTTTTCTTCCAAATGCAATTTGACTATGGTAACTAAATAAAATAAAATAAAAAGATTTTAATTAGGTACGTGTTATGAAATTCTTTGAGTTCAAATTGGTATTCAGTAAAATTAATGAATTAGTCTTTGTTGGTTATTGCTTTTGGAAATTAATTGGCTTAATCCAAACAAAGCTTGAAGTGTGACAGTTGCTTTCTCCTCGGTCTCATTTATTGGATCATAATAAGAAATTCTAACGGCTCTTTGATCAGGGGTGGTGAAATAGAATGGAATCAAGGACAATGAAGAGGTCATCGTTGAACAACAAAGAAGATAGAATCAGCACACTACCAAATGTACTTCTCCATCGCATTCTATCTTTCGTGGACTCCGTACAAGTTGTTCAAACCTGTGTTTTGTCCAAAAGATGGATGAATGTGTGGAAATCTCATCCCTATCTTGACTTCAATTATGAGACATTTTCATCAATGATAGAGTTCGATGATGAGGAGGATGGAATGATCGTTTTCACTGACTTTATCAATCAGGTTTTAGTACGTCGCAATAACTTTAAGGCTGTTAAGCTTTCCTTCGATCTATGTCATTACACTCGGAATAGTTTGGTAGAATCTTTGATATATTATGCAGTTAAGCATAATGCAGAAGAGATTTGCATAAATAATGCTTATTGTTATAGGCCAATTGTGTTGCCTCATTGTTTCTTTAACTGTGAATCATTGAGAAGCCTAAAATTGAAAGTTGGTAGCAGTGACATAGTTTTGCCAGAATCATTGGGGTTGCCATCTTTGAAGACATTGCATCTTGGTGGGGCTAAAAATTTTGATGGGAAGATTTTCTCAAGTTGCCCAAATCTTGAAAATCTGACACTTGAAGATATAAGCTTATTTGGTATTACAACTTTCAATATTCATGCTCTTAATCTGAAAAGCTTGGAAATTTTGAATTGGAGAAATAGTATAATTGTGCATCAATGCAAGGTTATGATTTTTGCTCCTAAGCTTACCAATTTCAAGTTTCATGGGAACACTCCTTTAGTTTGGTCTGCAGTGAATGTTACCTCTATAGATGATGTGAATGTAGTCTTGCAGAAAGACTATCGCATTTATTACCATCCATACTATGCAGAAGAAGATGGATACTTTTCAGATGTATATGAAACCGAGCAGGAGCTTTGTCGCAATCTCATCAAGATGCTTCATGAGTTCTGTAATGCAAAATCTTTGACATTATCCGTGAATATCTTTGAGGTGAGTCTTTTAAAACATTCTACACTTTAAGAGATTGATTTGTGCAAGTTGTGGTAAAAGGCAGTGAAGTTCTGATGGAAAGTCATCATTAGAAATATTGTGAGTCTTGCCATTTGTGTGGCTTTAAAGATTTATACAGAAGGTTATATTATTACTTTGCATAGTTATCTTTTAAAATTGGTTTGTCTTAGTGTACATTCATTTAGATTCTTCTTGTTACCCTTTCTCAAAGTTCCTAGCTCTTGAACAACCACTTCATTCTCTAGATTGCCTCAGTTAACAAATTACTCCTATCATGTTTTTTGTTGAAGAGGTGATATTCTCTTTACTGTAAGAATTTTAGGATTTTGTTTGTGCTTGCTTGCTTGTGCATGTGTGTGCAAGCTCATGTGCGTTTTATGAGGATTCTTTAGGATTTGTCTTAGGTTTTTTTTTTTTTTTTTTTTTTTTGGGGGGGGGGGGGTGTTGGGGGCTGGGTGGGTTTAATTTATATTGGCTTATTGTACAAAAAAAGCACAAACTTTACACCTTTTAATCATATTAGCACGTTCTTTTAACATTATATAGAAAATTCACAAACTAAGCTTCTCTTAACCATATTAGCACGCGTGATTTTTTCGGCTAAAATTCCGTTAACATCTAACGTGGTAGGGAAAAGTTCCATTAACATCTGATGTGGCAAGGGAATTTTGGCCAGAAAAAATCACTCGTGCTAATATGGTTAACAAAAGCTTAGTTTGTGTATTTTCTGTCCAACATTAAAAGAACATGCTAATATGATTAAAAAGTGTAAAGTTTGTGCTTTTTGGGTACAATAAGCCATTTATATTCTAGCAAATTTCTAATTTAACTATTAGTGAGTGTTAAATTCTTTAGTTGATTGCATAAGCTTTTGACATCTGCTTTTTCTTTTTATGTTATGAGTTGCACCATAATTTGGCAAAGTTGCTGCTTCTGATTGACCCTCAAAGTGTAATGTCAAAATGTGACATGTTCTTGAATAATTGAATTCTACATTCCATCCATCTTAATCACATCCTTTTCCTCAAAAGACTCTCCCTTCTTTATGATGGCATGCTGGCTGCTGTGCATAGATACAATATTTCTAGCATACATATTTTAGAACAATTTTTTCCTTACAAGTTTGCAGCTACTGGCTTTAATTGATTGGTTTGCACAACTTTGAATATTTGATAAAACTGGACTTTCTTTGCTGCAACTTTTGAGTCAAATATTGTAGAGCGTCATTAACAGATTATCAATTTTCTCTTGTATAGCTTTCAGGTAGTTTTAGAAATTAAAATAATGCATTTGTTGCCACTGCTTGCATATCTAATCCACGAATAAATTATTACTTTGTTGTTAGCAATACCTAAAAGAATTTCTATGGTAGCTTCATTTGGTGAAATGGCAAATCCCAAACATCCTTTTTCAGTTGGTAATCTTCTTTTTTATTTATATTTTTTTATTATATATATATATATATATATATATGGTGGATACAAGTCTGTGCATCCTTAATAACTGACAGAGTGATTCATTGAACATTTAAAGACAAAAATGTACCCAACTGATGTTTTACTGGTTTTCATGACCATCTATTGACATCAGGTTTCATGATGATTTGGTTAGTTGATAACCTTGCATTTTGTTGCTCACTGAATATCTAAATTTAAATTTCATTGTTTAACTCCAAAGTTTGTTTCTTTGTTTAACTTTTCATGTTTCCAGGTTTTTTCGAAGGTTCCTGCTGCTCTAAATGAATGTCCTTCTCCATTTACTAATTTGAAGTATCTGAAGTTGAAAACTGACCACAAGGATGTCACTATACCTGCCCGGGTCTTGAATTACTTTCTTAGGAGCTCTTCTTTGCTGAAAGTATGTTTCTAATATCATCCAAGGTAATCAAACAGATCCTCTGTTCTACATACAAAGCTGTTGTTGATACTTCTAGATAATAACTGCTTCAGTTCCACAGTAACATGCCTTGTAATTTCTTAGGCACAAACCCATGAAGCTATGAAGGTATTTTAAGGTAGTTCTTTCCATTTCCGTCAGCATGTGAATGTCTTTCAAGTGCCTAGGTACACCTTTGGGGCTTGTAATCTTCTTTAGAAATTGATCATATTCGTGGCTTCTGAGTGATCCTTGCAGCATACAACAATACAATATACGATGTTTTTCTTTTCCTGCTAACATTGTGTAGTTAATCCATTATATTTAGTAGCTATGATTGGACTCCGAAGTTTGCATTAGTCCTGAAACTTGCTTGGAAAGAACCATACATAGGATGCCAATTAATGCAAAATTTGCCCAAAAGGTAAAATGGAAATTGTTGGTGATGCATGTGATGTGCTGATGGCCGTTCTTGCATACTGAATCTGCGATTCTAAACGGTGGTCTTGTTATTCTGTTTGTTCTGTCTTCTGTAACTGTTGACATGTTCTGTTACTCACATTCTTATTGATTAAAATATGTTCAAAGTCATGGTATTTGAAATATTCTAATATTTGGATTTAACAGCATGCTAGCAGGACAAGATTAAAAACTTGAACTTTGACGATTTTTTCATCTGGATTGACTTCGTATGTATTGAGGTTTTGATAAGTAGAAGAGCACGAGAAAAGCTCCATGAAACCAATGGATGTTTTTCGCTGAATTTGTATCACTATCTGCACATTACTGGAGAGAGATCAGGCAGGTCGGAAGAATTCATTTTCTGCATGTTCTCGCAGGCTTTTTAACGTGTAAAGGGAACCTTTTAAGATTTTTATTTTTCTCCCCGCTGCTACCTGCAACGGAATGACAATGTATGCTTATTGAGCTGCAAATGATATAGCATTACACACATAAGATTGAAGATATAAACAAGATTAAAGGGGATTTAAAATTTAATTGCCACTAAAACTATTATTTGAGAAAGTCACTGTTATGACTTCCACCGCCACCGCAAACTTCACTGCTCCACAAGGTGGTCGAGGTCACATCAGTAGCACGACAGGTGACCTTAAAATATCTGTTAACATTACACCTTACCTCTTGGTTTGGTTTAAAATTTGGTACCAAATGCAACCGCAGGATGGTTGATTAATGGAGATCACTCTTTCCGCCTACTCCATGCAATCGTTTCACCTCATCATACCTTCCTAAAGTTCGCGCAGTACCGGAAAACAGTCACAATATGTGGTTTTCAATTTGAGATAATCTAATGATTAGGACTTGCGATCTTAACTCGAGCGTTTCAAGTTGAAATCTTGGAGAAAGTGAGGAAAATTTTAGGATGGGAAGACTCCTCTGTAACGTGGTCGTGATGGCCTTACTAACGTAATCAATAAGAATCCACCACCAAATAAAATGTACTGTATATTTTACTAAGACTCTAAAATAAGAAAGTAAGAAAGTGTTTATAATGCAGCAGTTAAGATGATTACCTTTCAAGTAATTCACACGGATTTAACTCTCGACATATTCATTTATGCTTTGATTTTTTTTTCTCAAACACCTCTTTATATATATAGATATATAAAAAATAAGAAAGTGTTTACAGGTGCAGCGGTTATTCATTTATGCTTTGATTTTTTTTTCTCAAACATCTCTTTATATATATAGATATATAAAAAATAAGAAAGTGTTTACGAGTGCAGCGGTTAAGATGATTGCCTTTCAAGTAATTCCCACAGATTTGACTCTCAACATATGCATTTATGCTTTGATTTTTTTTCTCAAACACCTTTATATATATATATATATATATAAAGTGTTCACAATGCGACGGTTAAGATGATTTCCTTTCAAATAATTCACACGGATTCGACTCTCAACAAATATATTTATGCTTTGATTTTTTTTCTTAAACACCTCTTTATATATATATATATATATATATTGGAAGACAATTATCTTAACTGTTGGTCAGTAAACATTGTCTTGCACTTGGATTATATATATATAATCCAAGTGCAAGACAATGTTTACGACTCAATAGCTTAAGATAATTGTCTTCCAAGTAATATACTCAAGTTTGACTCTTGACGGACGCATTTATGCTTTGATTTTTTTTTTTTTTAATTTATGTGTGTAAATATATATATTATAATCCAAGTACAATAAAGTGTTTACCGTCTAGCGGTTAAGGTAATTGCCTTCCAAGTAATACACTCGAGTTTGACTCCCCACGTACACATTTATGCTTTGATTTTTTGTTTCCTCATACACGCCTTTTTGTGTGTGTGTGTGTGTGTATATTGTAATCCAATTACAAGAAAGTGTTTACGGTCCAATCCAACGGTTATGATAATTGCTTTCCAAGTAATACACTTAGGTTCAACTCTCAACAAAATCATTTGTGCTTTGATTTTTTTTTTTTTTCCACATACACCTCTATATATATATATATATATATATTGTAATCCAAGTGTAAGAAAGTGTTTACGAGTCCAGCGGCATTTATGCTTTGATTTTTTTTTTTTGCATACACCTCTTTTTTTTATGTGTGTGTGTGTGTGTGTGTTCGGCATTTATGCTTTGATTTTTTTTTCGCATACACCTCTTTTTTTATGTGCGTGTGTGTGTGTGTGTGTGTGTGTGTGTGTGTGTGTGTATTGTAATCCAAGTGTAAGAAAGTGTTTATAATCCAACGGTTAAGATAATTGTAATACTGTTCACACCCTCACAATTTACTCGTTCACTCATTTTTATTATTATTATTATTATTATTATTATTACCCTTATACTCGTGCTATTCACTCTTAGGATTTTTTTTATTTGTAATTTTCATTCTTAGTTTTTTTCCCTTAGGTTTTTTTTATAATTTTTTAAATTATTTCATTTCGATCCTTAAAATTTTAAAATAAAAATTTTAATCCCTACCTAATGCACTACATGCCTTTTTTTTTCTTCAATTTTTTCTTTGTTTTTTTCCATTAATTTATGTTCTCTTTTTATTTAACTAAGTGTTAAAATTTTCAAAAATCGATCGTTATTTTTTTCCACACAAACCGATATATATACACACATTAAAGATCACCCCTCACAATTTACTATTCACTCCTTTTTTTACCCTCACAATGTACTATTCACTCTTAAGTTTTTTTTTTCCAAATTATTTTGTTTTGCTTTTTTTTTTTTTTTAATTTTCACTCTTAGTTTTTTTTTTTTTTTGTGATTTTCAAATTATTTCATTTTGATCCTAAAATTTTAAAATAAAAATTTTAATCCATATCCGATGCACTATGTGCTTTTTCTTCTTCTTTTTTTCCTTCGGTTTTTTTTTTTTACTTTTTTTCATCAATTTATGTTCTTTCATTGGGTGTTAAAATTTTTAAAAATCAATCATTATTTTTTTTCACATAAAGTAACGATTATAATATATATATATATATATATATATATATATATATATATATACTTTAAAAAAAACTCTTCTCATTAACATTAAATAAGAGTAAAATATTATTTTTTTCATTGGTTAATTTTTATGTAAATCTATACATTAATTGTAATTTTTTTTTATATATTCTCATAAAAAATATATATATTTAAAGCATTTCTTCTTATACTTGTTCTCCCCCTCATAATTTACTATTCACTTTTTTTTTTTTACCCTCATAGTTTACTCTTTTTTTCCCTTCACAATGTATTATTCACTCTTGAGTTTTTTTTTTTTTCACTCTTACTTTCTTTTTTTTTTGTAATTTTCAAATTATTTTGTTTTGATCCTTGAAAATTTAAAATAAAAATTTTAATCCCTAGCCGATGCACTACATGCCTTTTCTTTTTTTTTTTCTTTGCTTTTTTCCATCAATTTATGTTCTTTTTTTTTTATTTAATTGGGTGTTAAAATTTTTTAAAATCAATCGTTACTTTTTTTCACACAAAATGACGATTATATAATACGTATAGATCAAATGTGTGCATTTTAAAAAAATAATCTTCTCATCAATATTAAATAAGAATAAAATTTTATTTTTTCATTAATTAATTTTTTATGCAAGTCTATACATTAATTGTAACTTTATTTTTTGGATATATTCTTATAAAAAAATATATTTTTAAAGTATTTATTTTTAAATTCTTAATTAATATTCCAGGTTTAAATTATATATTATAATTTTTTATTTAGAAATCCATAAATAAAGAAAAATAAATCATTTTTTTAGGTAGAAATTATATGAAAAACACGAAAAAAATGGCAATAATTAAATAAAAAATTAATGAAAAAATTATAAAATTTTGAAATGACTTTGTTCTATCTACCCATAGCCTTGCTTTGATAATTTTAAAAATTAATTTTCTCATTAGCATTAAATAACAGTTTTTTTTTCATTTTTTAGTTTTTATAAAAGTCTATTTATTAATTATAACTTTATTTTTAGAAATACGATATCATAAAAAATATATTTTTAAAGTTTTTTTTTAATCTTGATTAATATTTTAGTTAAAATCAATCCATAAAGGAGAATGATTTATTTTTTTTAAGCAAAAAATTTATAAAAATACATTAGAAAAATTAATTAAATTAAAAATTATAATTAAAAATTTTTAAATTTTTAAAATTATTTTATTCTATCGGACTCGCAGCATGGCATGGGCAACTAACTAATATAATCTATAAAAAAGAAGAACAATGTTATTCATTTTGTTTGTTTTTAATAATACTTATTCTGTTCTCGTTTATTTGTCTACTAAATTTCCAATTATTCATTAAAATATCATTTATTGTTTTACTTATGATTGAAATTGAAATTTTTTAAAATATTCAACCAATAACTAACAAACTTATTTCATATTGAGACTTACTTTCAAGATATATATATATATCATATTCAAACTTATTAAATGTAATTAACAATATTTACTTCATTAACCTATTTTAAAGATAGAGGTAGACATAAAAAACAAAGAAAATCATATGCGAACAATACTTATTTTAGTGATTTTTTTGAAGAGAAAGATAGAAAAAAATTGTTATAAAATAAACAGAAATAATAGGAGAATTGAAGAAAATGATGACAAGAAAATGAAATCACTATAATGTGAATATAAGTGATAAGAACTTCAAAGTTTCTCTTATTCTCTCTAAGAAACTTGTACATCAACTAATGAATAAATCAAGC